GTCAAAATATTTTTACATGTCATCATTTTCCGTCAAGAAACGGGACACGTAGGTTGATATTTGACGGAAGGACCAAATCGGGGTAAAAATGGTAAACAGTAAGGACCAAATCAGGGATTTTTTTAGTTCAGGACCAAATAAGGGGTTCGTACAATAGTCCAGGGACCAAAAAGAGGTTTTAACCTTTAATATATTAAATAATATTTTTTAAAATATATATTTAAAATTTATGTATTTTAAATATATATATCAAATACAAATACAAATATACGTGTCGAACACAATCCAAAAGTACTCTGAGAATTTCAACATCTAAATTGCACTTTTATTATGCAATTCAAAGTTCAAACGGAAAAACATAAAACTCATAACCATAACTATTTGACTTTTTTTTTTTTTTTTTTAATTTTGAAAGTTCAAATTACTGACTCTTAGTTCCAATTTAAATTTATGTCACTTTCTGGTAGAAATAAAAATCCCCATGAACATGGAGTAGAAAAGTGAATAGAACTTCTCTCTCTCACAAGAACCTGAAACCCTTTGGAAATCCGCACCCAAATTCAGACCACACACAAACACAAATAAGGATATAATAATACAGACAAGATAATCAATTTGTTTTCCCTCCCCAATTCAGTTCTGTCCACGTAGTAGGACCCTCTGTCTCACCCATGTCTCTTCACGCTGCTATTTCGGATAAACACTGACCTGCCACCTACGTTTACAAACAAAGACACTCAACTTTTGGAAAGGAAAAGTGGAAAAGCAATGCAATTCAGAAGATGGATACATGAACGCGTCACCACATCATTTATCCACAACTTTGGAACTTGTTTACAATAAATAAGATGTGATAAAAAGAACAAGAAAGAGAAGAAAAATAGCAGATTTCACACCGATTATACTTAATAATTACCTGGAATGGCTTCATCCTCTGCCCCAGATTCACCACCTCTCTGCCAGGACAGCCAACCTTATCAGTGGAGGAACCTGCCATTGAAAGACAACCATGCATGCTTTGATAAAGGCAAAAATGAATCATTGTGCTGCTTCATCATGCAAGAGATATTCGAATTAAATCGAGACAAGAAACTTGTCCAATAGAAGTTGAATATAAGTGAGGAATGGAAACATTGCTCTCAATCTCTTCTTGCAGGTGGAAGAGATCGTATTACAGATTAGAACTTGAAAGTTGAATCCTTTGACAAATGACTACAACTAAACAAAAAAGCCATATATCCACAATGTTTCCGTAAACAGTTATCCACATTCGTTGCATAAATACTCCACATATCCTAGATGTTGCCTTTCCCCCGTGTAGCTCGTGGCCAGCATGTCTCACAAAAGCATCAAGTGCTGCTCAATTTGCTAAATACAACTATGTCTGAACCACCCACCTTGTCTATTATAGAAGTTTCCATGCTGCAATACAAAATTTTTTGGGGAAAGTTAAATCATTAACCTTGGACAGGATTTTTTAAACTTAGCACACATAAAAAGAAATTCAATCCAACAAAAACCATGCCCTTTTGAAAGTCTCTTTATACAGAGTACCAGAAGCACAAACAAACATCTACCGTTTTACAAGAAAAGTAGAGATTCTTAAACCATAAGGTAAAACTCATAAATAATTGACACAGGCAATCACGGAGGACCCTCATCTAAACCATGTTAAGCTTGGTCATGCCGTCATGCCATTCAAATTCAGTTGAGTTTCTGAAGGAGTTTGATCAGATCTCAAAACATAAAAGCAAATGCCAATCAGGTTGAAAGGGAGATTTCATTATTCTACCAATCATATCAATCTGGCCTCGGAATGGATTAGTTAACATCATTTTTTAAGGATGGAACACCTGGAAGTAGGGATTGAATAGTTCAACCAGCATTTGTATTCTCTGTTTTTCCTTCTGATTCATAGTTTTTGCAATATAGTTTTAATATCAGTCTTTAACAACAAAGGCTATAACTCCTAAAAGCCATTCTAAGTCTACAATTCCTAAACCCAGACTAAGCCATATAGAGCAACCATTTACAATGATGCCATGCCTAAAAGGTTACTAGAATCTGCATGGTTTTTGGCCAACTCAGAAGACTAATTAAACTAGATAAGGAATCTAAAAAATAACAAAGGTGAAGAGATCTAAAGTCACTACAATTTGAAGAACTATCTCTAAGAAACACGAGATTCAATCTACAAAAAACTTATCACTTTTATTCCAAGATTAACAATATGCATTAATCTAACATGGTAACTGCCAAAATCCCGAATCCAATAGAGCATAACGTAAGGAATCCAAATGGTTCACTGGGAAATCAACCAAAACTACAGATACAACAGAAAATTTCAACAGGAAGAGGGGACGAGTAAGAACTCTGAATTTCCATGACATACAACATTACCAACAAACAACCATTTATTCAAAGCTCAAATTCAAATGATTTTTTACTGACTTGCAAAACTATGTGATGCATCCACATACAGAACAAATGACACAGATTCGTGCTTACCTTAATTTGAAGAATTTAATTCAGAAAACATAGATAAAGTCCAAAGAAATTTATCACCGAACTCGCCAACCAAGATAAAGAATCAGGACGCAATAGCATCTTTAATTTAATTACTCCACTAACAGCAGAAATACCATGATGGTAGCAGAATCAAAGGAATCTAACTGGTTCATTTTAACACTAATCACCCACAAATTCCTTGGATAATTATTTGAAAGTTTCCGGATTAAAATAGCTTAAAAGAATCTAATCTCATATATAATTAAGCTCCAGACAAAGAGGACAACAAACAAATAAATCTAAGAAATACCAAATCCAAATATCAAGCTAACAAGGTTCGAATCAAGACAAAGAAAACGGCTCTAAATATGGAAATGAAACACAGATTTTAAGAAGGCGAAAAAATAAAGGAAATTCAGAAGAGAAATGTAAACAAAATCAAATACCAGGAATCTCCTTCCTTGGCGATGGAGGTGCCTTGACGGAGTAAAGAATGGAGCGACCTAACATGGAAACCGTAGAAACAATCCCGACAACATAAAAAACCATCACCAAACCAATAACCCAAGGCATCAACATGAACCCAATGAAAAAGGTCACTGATCCACAAAGCATCAGAGCCACAGAAATTCCAAGCATCAGAAAGGCAAACCCCGCTGGAGTGATCGGATTCGTCGTTGACGTCGAACTCGGCGGCCTCCTCGACTCCAGCGGTGACTGATCGGTTAACGGAATCGGCGGAGATCGCAACAGGCTGAGAACCAGAGCAGATAGTTCGTACAACACCTTTGATTGCTGATCTTGCTGCCGATTCTGCTGCTGCTGCTGCTGCTGCTGTCTTCTCATCATGATCAAAGGAATGAAATATCTAAAAAACCCCGAACGTAAAATCCGAGCAAAATTACAAGATTCCAACGGAAATCCTTGTCTTCCCCTGTTTTTGCTAAAATCGAGGCAAACGGATAAACTCAAGGAGCTGTTATCAAACCGCCGATTGATTGGAGGGGAGAATATTTAACCGTATATATATTACAACTGGAGAGTTGTGATTGGGAAAATGGTTTGTTTGTTTCTCAGGAATTCAGGAGGGAAACTGAAGGAAAATGAAACAGGCGCTACTATTTCTTCAAAAAAAAGAAAAAGAAAAGAAAGAAGGATGTGAATCCTCAATAGAAGAAAACAGGAAAAACGTCGAGACGAATATATCGAGTGCTAAATTTTGTTTTCTTTTGCAGTGTTTGGATGCAAAGAAAATGTGGATTGGGGGGGGCTGCGTGTTTGTTATGCTAAATTGGAAGCTGATTTATCAATGAAAAAGAAAATGAGAAGGGGGGGCCGATGAGGTGGCGGATTATGGGGAAATGGATGAGGCGCAGAGCACAGTTATCTGAAGCGCTCAATCGATCAGCGTCAGAGTAGATATTGAGTCGGGTGTGACGTGGGCGAGGCCTTATCTGAAAAACTAATCAGCACATGCTATGGTCATGGCGGCTGTCAATAAAATTGTTACATTTTTATATTAATTTAAAGTTTTTTTTAAGAACAAGTAAAATATTAAAATATATTAATATTAAAATTTTTAATTATAATTATTATTTGCATTTGGACTTTCTATCCAATAACATCAGGTAATATATCAGTGCATTCTTTTACCTCCAAGACAACTGTTTAAATTTGATTTTTTGTGAATTTGTAAAAAAAAAAAATTATAATTATCGTTTAAATAGAATTTAAGTGAAATTTTCCTTAAATGGTAATCCTGATTGGATATTCTAATAGCTTTAAGGTTAAGAGATTTGATTTTTATTTTTTGTTTATTTTTTTAAATTTGTATTTTTATGTATATATTAAAAATATTTTGTTAATCATAAATAAATATAAAATTTTATAAAAATTAAAATTAATATTAATTTTGGTATTAAATAATAAATTTAATTAAATAATTAATAAATTAAAAATTAATTTTTATTTTTAATATAAATTTATGATAAAAATATATATTATTTTATTATGTTCTTAATTTATAAAAATTTTTAATTTAATTATTAAAAATAATTAATAATAACTATAAAATAATTAATAATATATTTATTATTTATATAATTAAAATTAAGTTATAAATGAATATTTTAAAATATCATAATTAATTATTTAAAAAAAATTACAATTAAAATAAATAATCTTAAACAAATTCTTTGCTGACTCTAACGTCAGTCATCACCTATGACCAAACTAATATCATAAATGGTTGTAGAATTCCAAAATATTAAAACAGTTTTTTTTAATGACACAACACAAGGGAGGGGCATGCAGTCATAGCCGCATCACAATACAACATAAACTATTTTTAAGCACGAATTGCATTTCTTATTTTATATGGTTTGGAAATTAAACTTATTAAGATATCTCTAATAGCAGCAAAATTTAGTGAAATTTAGTGAAGTTGATATTTATTAGTTTAATATTTTTAATTTAAAATTAAAGCTAGATATTTACATTTTAATTAGTCATTTGATGAAAAAAATTAAGATGCTGCTAATAATTTTTTTAATATTTATTTATTATTAATATTTTAATAATTTTAATATTCAAATTATTTTTTTTCTCTACTTAAAATTTAAAAGTGAGAGGATTCAAACTCCAACAGTAAAGTTGAGAGATGCACCAATATTCAAATTATATTAAACAAATGCAATTTATAATAAGAATTACTTATCTCATGCAATAATCTCAAGCATAGCTTAAAACATCACCCTACCTAGTGTACCGATAGGAAATTATTCCATGTAGTTTTATATTGTATCATAAGAAATTAATAAATAAATATTATTATTATCATATTAGCTTTCCTTCGAGATTGTTTTACCGTATTAAGTTGTGACCGTTGCTGTGATTTTTTTTGTCTTTCATTATTTTATAAATATGTAAATATTAATTAAAATTAATAAATTTATATTTTTAGATAAAATATTGTAAAAAATTATGTAACATATTTTCAAATGAATTTTTATTTTTTTTGCCAAAAATGTTTTATTACTCCTTTTGATTAGATTTAGTTATTTCACTTTTTAAATAAAAGTGGTCTAATTTAATTGTTTCACTTTATATTTTAATAACATCTTAAATGTTAATATTTCAATTTTACTCTTATCTAAAAAAATGAAAATGCATTAGGATTTTTTATTTAATTATATGTAAGGCTAAAATGAAAAGATAAATTATAATTATTGTAATAAATAAATTTGTTTTGGTAATTATAAATGAATAAATTGAGATAACTAAATTCAATTAAAGGGAGTAATTTAATTATAAAATTAGGATAATGTTGTATTAATAATGCAATATAGGATTGTAAACTTACAATTCTACATAATATTAAATGAGTGAATGTATATAATAATATATGGACTTTTGAATAAAAAAATTAATTATATAATAACATATTATAAATTTATGATGTCAGGTGATATTGTAATTACACTCTTTTCATCCCAAAATAACTATAATTGTTTAACTTTAAGTTTGTTATAAATTAATTGTTCTTTTTTTCATTTTTTGATAGATAAACATTTTTTTTCTATTTTAATTATATTATTATCTATTTATTTTAATTAATTATTTTATCAAAAAAAATTTATTTTTTCTTTTAATTTTTTAAAAAGTAAATAGATAAATATATAAATTATTTATAAATTTTAAAATTTAAAAAATAACAATTATTTTAAGAGTAACATAATAGTATTTTTCATAATTTCTATAGGGAGAAAAATACAAGTCTCTCTTCTTTGACATTTTTCAAGTTGTTTTCCATCTATTTATGAGGCGTGCAAGCAAAGGAATTTGTTTTCAATAATTCATCGTTTCAGTTGCTTTTAAGAATGGTTTTCACCAGAAAATGCTACAGAAACAATTTTTTAATATTATTTTTTAATATAAATTTCAAATATCATTAAATAAGTAAATATATTCAATATTATAGATCTCACATAAATAAAAAAAATTAATCATTTAAATGATATGTCAAATTATATTAAAAAATGATACAAAAAATTTATCCCAAAACCATTTCCTGTGTTTACCTACCTTTGGAAAACCGCCGTTAGAATATAGTTAAGCAAGGTTGCCCAAAAAGAAATAGGGTAATAAAATTGATTTCTTTAATATACTGTTTGAATTATGTTATATTACAAAATAGAGATTCTTAAATAAAAAAATGAGCTTTTTAAAATTAAAAAATTTATTTTTATTTAATAATTAAAATCATACAATTTTAAATAATTTAAATTACACAATATTTTTTAAACAAAATTAAAATACTATGTACTACTTAGCAGATGTGGCTGAAAAGGTAAGACTAGACTCTTTTTTTCCTGAGAAAAAGTCAAGAGTTGAGGTGTCTAAATATAACATGAGTGATGATATAAATGAAGAAGATATTGACCAATTATACTGGGAAAATTATATTATTAAATAAATATATATAATCTTATAAATTTTAATAAAATAAAAAATATTAAATAATATAAAACTTATTTTTTAATATTTTAAATCACTTAAATTATAATTATGTCCTTAATCTTAAATTTTAGTTTCATAAAATTTATCCTTTTTACCATTATTCATACACTTTCTTGTTTACGAAGCTTTTTTTTAGTTAATTCTCTCTCGACAGTAATCAAAACTACATGTATTTCAT